TGTTTACTGCTCCTTGGTCCCAGAAGTGTCCCCTTTCCCTGCTTCCACTCACCAAACTTACAGTGAAGAAAGGCAAAAGAGTTTCCAGGGAAACTCATTAGTGAAGTTCCCCTCACTTGGGACTTTAGTATTGTTTTGATTGTTGAGTTATAGCTACTTAGCACTAAAAATATGTAGGTTAACTATTCTTAATTAAAAGAAAGAGCTTATGTTAAAGGGTGCCCCGCAAAGAGGAGGGGGTGGCAAACTGATTTGCAAACTGCCCTGTTTGCTGTCCCTGTTTTCTGGCTCCCTGGTCGCTTGGAGTCTCTTTTTGCATCTTACTGGGCCTGGCTCTGCCCCTCTGTTAGGGCTTTTGTCAGGAGGCAGGCAACAATTACTCTGCTAGCAGCACTTCCAGCTGCTCAGAGCACATGCCCAAAATGCACACAGCCCATTGAACAAGCACTCAGCAAGCCAATCACACAGGCAGCCCTGGGGCTCACTTACCTTCCCAGAGTAAGATCTGGTGCCTGGCTCATCCCCTCCCCCCTCTTGCTTCCAGTGCAGTGCTTGCAAACTGGGCTGTTTACAGTCCCTATTCTATATGTTTTCCTGATATATCTGATATAATTTTCCACGTATAAAGTCTTATTATCAGAGGCTGGTCTTGAATTTGTTAGCCTTCCAATGCTGCAGCAGGAAGAGTTAAAATCAGAGGGGGGGGGGTAGCATCTCCTATCCTGCAGCCCCCTCCCTCCTCTTTACCATCAGTGTTGGCAATAATCAGGAGTCTTGTATTTGTATAGTTTGTATATTTTAAGACCAAGTTTTAATATAGTCAAGTAAACACCCATGACACTTAAGTGATGTTAGCAGTAGTGGAAGAGCATATAGAGTCACATACAATTAGTTGCTTGTGATTAATGTTTGAGGTTGGCCAGTGTCACTGCATTTTTATTTGCTTAGGGTAGGGTTTACCACAGTTGTATCCTGCATTTGTTGCTCTGTACCATTGCAATACTGGTAAAATACCATATTACAAGAGATTAATTTGAAAAGCTCACATTTTAAAGTGTTTAGTATAGTACATCAAGTTAGTTTCTTACACCCATCTTGGAGCCTGTAGTGAGGAACAGGATTAGGTGTTATAAGATCTAGTCAGCATGCTTGTTTATAGACATGCTGAATTATTAACAGATTAAAAGGGTGCAGTTCTCTCATGCTGGCAAACTTAAGTAATTGCATACAGGTTTTGGCTCTGTGGCAAATCTCCCAATTTTCTGGTTGTACCTGGTTTGGCTTCCCTTCTTGTAGCAATCTGGTCAGCATGGTGTGCAGAGTGCTTTATGCGCATATTTATGGGCACACCTTTCTGCTAAAACAGTGAGGTATCAGATGCCCAAGTTTTCCCCAAGATGCACAGAACAGGGTAGAAATTATGACAGGTGTGAACTTAACATACACCAAACTCAAATGAATGCATTTCCTCAATACAAGCATGTTTGTTTATGTGGGATAGCCAAAAAGTGTCATGAGCATGTTAAGAAGAGTCTGAATTTGTAGGGTGGTTGTCCCTTAAATGCAGCTAGGGCTTTTTGTATTGCACTGTTGATCATTATAACATAACCATCCAGTACTTGCCTGCTGTTCTAAGGTCAAGTGGGTGCTGGATTGAGGGAAGTGGTTGCTGTCAGGGATTTCTAGAATGGGGGTCTAGGAAGCAACTGATGCTTACACCCCTGCAATTTCAATTCTCTTCCTCCTTTCTGTAAGGAGGATTATAATACTTGATCCTGCCTATAGTGGGATGGAAGAAGATGGAGAGACCATTTCCCTATCCCTACCTGCTTTTACAGTCTAGTTATTTGCCTTTGCTAGTGTGCCCCAAATGTTTAGAGGCCATAAAGTCCATAAAACTAACACTTATTGTTTTTCCATTTACTTAGATTCCATGTTTACTCAAATACAAGATGACCCCAATTATAAGATAATCCCCTATACTGAAATTTATAACTTTTCCATAAACAAACGGATACAATTTTCCAGGCTGTAACCAAGTTCCACTCCAGGGGTAGCCTTGATGACCCTGGAGCCCCCTTTGCCCAAGCAAGCCAGGTTGTTGGCAAGGGCTCTCTCCCCTTCACTCACCTGCCACCCCTTGACATTCCTGTGTGTTTTTTTTTTTTTTTTCCCCTCAAAGGAGAGGCTGCCTCAGGGCTTACCAAGCCTGATTTCAGGTTCCTGAGCTCAGTTGTTTCTGCTCTCGGCTTTAACAGCTAATTATGTGGCTTCACTGCTCCTTACACTAGCAGTTCCCAACTTCTTTTATACCATGGACTGGTAAACTCAGTCAAAGAATTTTGATGGATTGGGTATAGAAACAATCTAAATTTACATATTTAAATGCAATTTCCATATTTAAGTGGAAATTTTACATCGGGGGGGGGAAGGGGGGTTGCTAGGATCAGATTGTATTGGGGCACTGCAGCCACAGGCACCAGGGGACCCTGCAGGGGACAGGGCTACATGGGTGTGACCTGGGGGTTCCCAGCCGAGGCTGCCTGGGAAGAAGGGGTTCCACTGCCTTCCCTAGGAGCAGGCAGCAGAGCTGCCTCCCTGCCCTCCACCCGGGCATTTCCCTGCCTGAATCCACCTGCTCCCATCTGTGGGCAGGGCTGGGGACTCCTGCCTGGCCCTGTACTGGCCCCAGCACCTGGTATGCAGGCAGCACCTTGCCAGGTGCAGCCATAGCAGTGGGAGCAAGATGGGGCTCATGGAGCTGGCTACCTCCTTCCTGGGGCTGCCCCCCTGCCCAGTTTTAACTGCACACATGACTGCCAGAAGCAGAAGCCACAAGCCTGCAGCCAACCCTTTGTGTCCTAGTATAGGGCTGCAGCTTTGTGGTTGGGAACCTCTGCCTTACAGATGTTATCAGTTTGTAGCTTTGGTGGGCATTTAGCCCCAACCCAACAGTAGATCACCGCAGGCCTCCACCCTCCCAGCCTCAGCCCCTGTTCTCTTACTGGTTCCTTTTAACATAGGCCTGCTGTGCTTGACTTGGCTTCTGGGTTCCAGCCCTAGACTGCTTAAACTGGCTTTGTCCTTTGCCTTGTCCTGGGCAATACACTTGCTAAGCCTGCTTTGGCTCCTGGGCCCCCCTGGTATTGTATCTGTCCTTTCCATGCACAGGATGCCCTGGCCCTGGCTCCACCCTTCTGGGGCACTAAGCCTCCTAGTTCTTGCCCAGCTGTTTCCCAATCTAGGCTTTAGTCTGTCTTTCTTCCTCTCTGGGCTTTAAAACTCCCCCCCCCTGGGTTTAGGCATATGGCATACCCCAAACCCAGGCCCCATAACAGGGCTCTAAATACTGACAATCTCGTTGTGGGTTAAGCCACCAGTGTGCCCCTTAGGCACCCCACTTTAGGTTAAACCCCCAGGTTCCTCTCAAGCACCCTGCCATGGCCTCTGCTCACTCCCCTTTCAACCGGGGTATAGCAAATTATATCAAAAGCATCAAGTCTGCCACAAGGCTTCCTCTTACCAAGCAGCTGTGTTTCTCTGCAAGATGCCAGTATTCAGCTGGTATTTCTTAGAGCAGCTCTGCAGTTTTCCTGGCCTGGAGCTCTTCATGCAGTAGTTTGCAGGACTAGACTGCCTAGCTAGCTCAAGCCCTGGGTTTATATGCTTCCAGTCCGGCCCCCTTTCTGGTCAGGTGGGTCCCTAATTACCCTCAGGATTTCCTCCTTATGGCCTAATAACTGGTTGCCATGGCAACTTACACCTGCTGCACAAGTTAGGCTTTGCTTTGTTAGCTTGTTTTGTGTCTTGGTAGGTGTACTGTAAGCAGTAGTAGCTGCTAGTCTCCAGCTGCCTGTTCTCTTGCAGCCAGCTTTCCATTGCTGAGGATATACCTCTTTGGGCAGCAGCTTAACAATAGACATATATTTAATAAGGCTTTTTTGTATGCTATGCAAGATGAGGGGCTTTTCCCGCCGGGGGGGGGGGAACCTTGTCTTATATTCAGGTAAAGGCAGTACTCACCCCTCATTTTTTAATCCACAAGATAATTTTCAGTTTTTCACCAAGGTTTGCAACAGAGAGTAGGGCAGGCCTTGCCACAGAATTCATGTGCTAGTAAAGTTTACTAGTAAAGTTATATTATACAGCAGAGCAACTTCAACTAAAAATGGTAAAATTTTAAGTCAGTGATAGACTTTTCAGTGACTGACTTGTGGCCATCATTTTGGACACAGCACGTGCATTTGTTTATAGAAATACAGTAAATTTACTAAGCACAATGCTAGGTGTGGTATGTTATTAGGTAAGCCTCATATCACACTATTCCATGTAGATTTTCAGCTCTTGCCAAGTATTATTCTCCATTTTTGTGCCCAGTCCTGCTAGCTCTTTTGATTTAATTTATGTTAGTGTATTAACATTAGTGGTAATTGACAGCAGTCAGCCACTTTTACTTTTCAAACTGAAGTGAAGACTGCTCTCAAGATGTTTGACCCATGTTTGATTGTCCTTGGTTTACCCCTTCCTCCCCTTATCTGACTGAGATGCAAACAGCATTTTTGGAAATGTTTTAGTTTATTATTTGTGCATATAATATATGTATATCCGTTTTGCTGGTGAAAGATTAGCCTTTAACAATAAGCTTATGTACACAAGCTGATAGAGAAAATAATCTTTGAAAACTCAGCTGTTAGGTTTACAGGAATTTGTTCTAAGCCATAAGTAGATATTTATTGTTAGAATTCTAGCAAATCTTAAGCATTCTTTAAAAAACCTCAAGAACCAGAACAACTTGTTGGTTTCTTGGGTGATTTACAGTTTATAGTTTATTTTCTTATCGTATTTTTCTTGTCTTTCTATAGGGCTGAAAGATACACAGGAGTCTTCATGGATATAGTTGATACATTTAACCATTTAATTCCTACTGAACACTTAGATGATGCCCTATTTCTAGGATCCAACCTGGAGAATGAAGTCTGTGAGGATTTTAGTACAAGTCAAAATGTCTTAGAGGATTCGCTGAAGAACATGCTCAGCGATAAGGATCCTATGCTAGGATCTGCAAGTGCCCAGTTCTGTTTGCCTGTTTTGGATAGCAATGATCCCAATTTCCAGATGCCTTGTTCAACAGGTAAATCTTACAATTTTTTAAGATTACAGTTAAAAAAATACAGTAATAGTGCCATCCCTTTTTGCTAATGTAAAACAAAATGAGTTGGGGTTTTCCCCTTCTCTGTTTTATGGATTAGGTCTCAGGCATTAAAACTCCCTTCATTTCTCTTGAAGGTAACAATATTTACAAAAGGGGACTTCATGCTTGTGATAGAGGGAGGTACAGTCTGAATCCTTCTTAGGCTTTTCTTTATGTGTCCATTTTTCCCCAATCAAAGTAGTAATATGCTTTACTTTTACTAGTTAGGTGTATTATTTATGTAATCAATTACCTTTTAAAACTGAAGTAACACAGAGTTAGTAATAGCAGTACTTGAGTTGTACAATCCATTGTTCTAGTTTCTGGGACACAGTGATAGTCTTAGTTTTAGTGCTGAGCTGATACCAGAAACAGTGATAGTGCTTTGCGGTCTTTGGTGGCCATAGGTGTAATTTCATTTTATATTAACATCTTTAAAAGTTACTTAAACATTTATCAACTTATTCTGAGTAAGTCACGACCATGAGAATTACAATTAGCACTTGAATTATATCTCTCAACAGAATTGTATATAGCACTTGAATTATGTTGTCACACTTAGCACTTGAATTATTTCTGCAGGACATAGAATGAACTACAATCTCCACTCAGCTTTCTGTTTTGTAGCAGCAGCTAACAGCAAATCCAGAAGATAATGATTAAAACAATTATAAATTTGAACTATAAAAGAAAGCTAAGCAGCTGACTCATTTCTTTTTTTATAATGACTAAAGACAGTTTCAGGTAATATTGTCCCTTGCCTCCCTTTTTTTTTATCATTCTTTCTACACTCCTGCAATACCATAATTCCAGCTATCACCTCCCAAATAGTAATCCTGTCTATTTTAATGTAAAAAAAAATCAAATATTCACTTTTGTCTTTATGCTTATGGACTGTGGCAAAAATTGGATTATATGAATAGTGATGAGGCAAAGGCTGTAATTGAACTTGCAGCTCATTTCTTCTGCTTGGGAAGGCAGGTACTTCTGCCAAGATGAGTCAAAAGTTTACATAGTCCTGATTATACCTGTGTTCTGCACATATATATATAAATAAATACATAAATAAATAAAATGTGTGTTTGTACAGGTATATATGTAATTTATATATCATGGTTTGAAGACTTATGAAGAAATGGACATGAGTAATACTAACAGACATAAATTTGTAGAGGTGCACCGATATATCGGTCGAATATCAGATCGATATTGATATAAAGAAAATTGGCTGTATCAAAAATTGGCCCTGTAAAACATCGGCCAATAATTTAGATGATAAATGCCTGTGAGTGCGCACAGCTTCAGTACAGCATGCAGGCAGTGAGGAGCAGAGCCCGACAGCATGAAGAGCTGCGTGCAGCTGGTAAGTTCGTTGTGGTGGAAGGGGAGGGAAGGGCTGTGGGGGGCGGCAGATCAACACCCCCTGCAGTGAGGGAGAGACTGGCACAGAGGCTGGGGCGGTACGGGGCACAGAATGAAGCCACGGCTCATCGGGTGGAGAGGACGGGGACAGCTCGTGCTGCAGCTTGCACCCCGGGAGGGTGAGGGGGGTTGTGCTCCCTGGATCTGTGTGGGGTGCAGCAGGAGGGCTGCATCTGCAGGCTGGAGCCGGGGCTGTGCTGGGCTCTTCTTGGCGGGGGCTACAGAGGGGGCTGCAGCCACCTCAAATTTTGCCATAGCCCCCTCCTAGTGCTGTCGCCGCACGTCTGGTGCAGCCCAGGCTCTTCACGGCATGTGGGGGGAGGCGGCGGTTGAACTGGGAAAAGCCAGGGCTGTGCCAGATGTGTGGTGGCAGTGCTGGCAGGATGCTCTTGCAAAATTTGGGGTGCTTGAAGCCCCCCCAGATCTGGGGGGGGTCACACGCTCCCTCCCCCCCGCCAGGAGCCGCCCCTCCCCTTCCCCCCACCAGCGACCCGTGGCTCTGTCCCACAGCTCGCCCCACTCTGGCTGGGCTGCGCCTGCCCCAGCCCCTGCCCCAATCCCTCCCTCATCACAGGGGGTGATGATTTGTCCCCCTCAGGCCCCTTCCCTCCCTCTTCCCCTTCTACCGCAACAGACTTACCAACCTCATGCAGCTCTCCATGCTGTATCGGAAATCAGATCAGTATCAGCCGACATACTGATAGCTGATTTTTAAGGAAGCATCGGTCCCCAAAATGTCTATCAGTGCACCCCTAAAAATCTAACCATATTTTATCAAAACCTTTTACTATGTAACTTCTGCTATCCTGCCTCCTGCCCCCTGTACCCTCCAAGAAGTCATGTACTCAGGTGTCCTTGTACTATGTCCTGCTGCATGTAAATTCTATTACAAAATTCCTGGGGTATATAATACTCTGGTATAAATTCTGTGCAAGTTTTGTTTAGATAAGTGCAGATGTTAAATGTTGGAGTGTGAAAATATATATTATAAGACAGTAGCACTTGTATTTTACTTTTATAGTAAACGCAGTGTATTTCATGCAGTTCTTATATGTTTACTTTTCCATTTCAGTGTTTTGTGTAGTATAACCTATCGGGGAAAAGACACAGGTCAGGTGCATGGAATAGAGTTGACACTGGCAAAGTAACTGGATGTTTCGGCAAAAGTTATCAGCAGTGGAATTAGTAACAATACTGATATTTAAATTATCATATTTAATTTTCAAGCTTGTCACCCTATTATAATGAATGGGTCGCTTTACCTAACTTAGAGCTATTGTTTCAGACTCTTTGAGGATTCAAAGACAGCTTGTTTATACTCAGTTCACAATTTCAAGATTTTCTTTGAATCCCTAAAGGCTGAGGCACATTTTTTGTTTTAAGCAAAAGCTTAAATTTTGGAATATGATTCTGAAATCCAGTATGGATTGAGTGCAGTGTCTTGCTCTCCTTTATAGATCTCAAGGACTGTCTTCATATTTTAAGATAGGAATTGCTAGTGGCAGTCTACGGTTTGCGGTTGGGAATAACATTATTTGGTTCCAAACAGCGTATTTGTGTCTTACTTCCATTGCTAAAATGTTCCGATAATTAATGGCTCATCTGGTAAGTCTGAGAAGTTATGCAGATATATTAGGATCTAGACCGGGGTGGGCAAAGTATAGCCCATGAGCTGGATCTGTCCTGTCAGCTGATTGGATCTGGCCCACAGGGTGTGTCTGCCAATTGACTGAATCCAGCCCGTGGCTGCCCCCACACCACTTTGCATGGGACCAAGCCCAACCCCTGGTGGGAGATGGCAGAGCTCAGCCCCATGCAGAGTGCCACAGACCTCACCGCCCAGGTGAGCTATGTTGCACGTGCCCCCCACCCATGCCTCCCTCCCCCCCCCCCACACACACACACACATGTGCACATGGGTCCCCCTCCCCCCACTCCTCCACAGAGCAGGAGTGTGCAGGGAGCAGATTGCCTATCTTGTTTTCAAACACCACTACTCACCAGGCCCCCATGGCCCCATTCCACATACAGAGTTTTGGTGAGCTGTTTTGCGAGGGGTGGGGGGATGTTGCTGATCTGGCCTGCAACAGCTTATCAAAACTTCCTATGTGGCCCCTAGGCTCTTGTAGAAAATGGTCATTGAAGGTGATACATTGCTGTGTCTCCTGACCCAACTCTTTTTAATTCTGTTTGGGTCTTTGTACTGCAACTGCTGTCTAGTAGTGAATTAGGCAACATGACTATATGAGTCGCATGTTGTCTTGTCTCCATTTCTCTCCCCAGGGAGAAGTGTGTGCAGTGGGGTGTCATAATTTGGTTAGGCTTTAGGGTTTTCTCTTTAAATGTGCACATTACTATGTATTGTTGTTAAAGAAGGAAAAGTCAGAAAAGTGCATGTGCACTTGAATGGATAATGATAAGGTTTCTGATGGTTCTAAGTTGCAGTAGGAATTTATTCTACAGTCTTGGACTGGATCCAGAGAAAAATCTATCTGCAGAAGAGATTTACTCTTAGAGAATTGCATTGTGTCTTAGGTCTTCATCTTAAAACTTCAGGCAGGCAAGGTTTTTTGGTTAGATGTGACATCTTTTATTAGACTAGCTGAGTAGTTGGGAAAAAGTTCTTAGCAAGCTTTCAGGCACAGTCACCCTTCGTCAGGCATAGGGAGTCTCTGCTGGTCTAAGACTTCAAGGAATGAGAGAAGCTAAAAATGTGACAGGATGTCAGTGACAATATAAAAGGGCAGGAATTGGAAAAACAAAAGGTAAAGCAGGGAAGGGAGGGCGAAGAAAAACGGGACAAAAAAGGCCAAAGGGGGAAAACAGTACAGTGGTAATACTGTGAAAAAGAGGCTATAAATAAAAAGGAAATGGTAGGGAACCAGGAAGAAAAAGGGCAGAGAAGAAGGGGAGGGGAGAATGGTTGGGGATAAAAGAGAGATGTGAGAGGTCAGGTCAGGCAGGTACCAGGTGAATCAGATGTCAGGCAGGTTGTAATGTGTCATAAATCTAATGTCTATATTGAGTCCATGATTTTTAGTATCCAGTAGGTTGATGAAGTTCAGTTTATAGGCTAATCTATGAAAGGTGTGTTGTAAATTCCCTTTGAGGATTAGAACTGAGAGATAGGAGAGGGAGTGATTGTCCTACGAGAAGTGTGCACCACAGGTGGTTGGGTATTCTCGTCTTTGATAAATTTTTGGTGTGCGCTCATTCTGGTGCGCAGTTGTTGTCTGGTTTCTCCTACATATTTTCCATCAGGGCATTTGGTGCTCTGAATGAGATGTATAACATTTCTGGAGGTTCAGGTGTAGGATCCAGGAATGGTGATGGTTCTGTTGTGGGATGTAGTTATTGTTGGGGTGGTGGAGATATGGTGGCAGGTTTTGCATTGCTTGTCCTGGCATGGTCAGGATCCTTTTGATGTGGTTTTGGTCATAGGGAGTTTGCTTCTGGTGATGATGTTGGTGAGCTTCAGTGCTTGTTTAAAGGCTAGGATGGGTGGTTCTTGAAAGATC